ATGAACGTAACCCGCAACAATTTTTCCAACTTTTTCTTGATTTTTATCATCACCTCAGGGGCATAGTTTCGTGAATGCTGTTTGATAGGCTTGTCTGAGGAGCGGATGTTTAGCTTGTGGCAGACCAGACTTGGGTCCAATCCAGACATCTCTTCATATCCCCATGCAAAAACATCAACATATTCTATCAGTAATACCAAGAACGCCTGCCTCTTTTTTGTGGATAGCCCCTTGGAAATGAAAATTGGTCGTGGTGGTTCCCCAAGTGGGGTGAGGTTTATTTCCTCGAGCTCCTGCTCCTGCGGCTTAGGACGATCCTCTATGCATTCTGGCGTGAGGACCACGTTAGTGAGCGTCGCGGTGATCTTGGCCTCTGCTTCATGCACCTCGTCTCGGGGACTCACCCTCTCGGCCTCGCGAGTGGTCCCCCCACACCATCATAACTAGTAAGTGACTCGTTCATTAGGTAGGACGTGACAGATACATCTCTTTGGGGCCGCCTCCCGCGAGGGCTCTTCAACTTGCCTTTTTTCTCGGGCCGCTCTCCGACCTTTCTTTTACACTAACCCTTTGCGGTGTTACGTAGACTTCTCACTGAACCTCCTCCCAGGACGGAATAGGGAAGGACAAGGGCTGCTGTAGTACTGTTGTAGTGGACTGGCGACTTCGTCATCTTCGACCACTACATCGTATAGTGCTTCCTCAGCCAAGTGTGTCTCATTGCTGCTAAAGGGGGTCCTCGGTCGCGGGTCTCACCACTTCTTTTCCATTCCAAATCATCTTCATGCACTGGTGGTACGTAGAAGGGATTGCTCTTAGATCATTCATCCAAGTGCGCCCCAGGGGCGCATAATAAGTCGTAGGAGCATCGATCACGTGGAAGGTCGTGGGTACCCTCACCTTCCCTATGACCACAGAGACAGTGACATACCCGAGGGTCCTTCTTTTATCACTGGCGAATTCGACGATGATAGTCATTTTTCTGACTAAACTTAACTCGCGAAGTCCAAGCTCCTCATATGTGGACAAAGGCATGACATTAACTGAAGCCCCATTGTCTAGAAAAGTCCTTTCCAACTGTACCCCATTGATTTTAGTGGTGACGTAGAGCGGGCGATTGTGCTTCCAGGGTATCTGGCGATCCCGCTCTGTGAAGGTGACGACATTAGACCTTTCCTTGATACTGCGGGACACCGAGCCTTCTAAAGCCATGCACTTCTCGGGGCCTGAGGGCCCATCAGCACACAGTCTATGATGGCCTTGGTGGCTGCCAATCTAGTACCATCAGTAAGTCCTAACTGATTAAAGAAAATTTTGAACTTGACTGTTTCCTTCAAGATACGTGCACTTTGCGTAGGGGTCAATTTTTGGCACATCGTGACACTCTTCTAAGGTCTCTCGATTTAACTAGATTTCAGGCCACTCTTCGAAGTTACCTTCCGCTATATCCTCGATTTCATCATAGAACGACAACATGTGCACCTCCTTACCTTCTTCGTGGTCTATGAGGGGTTGATCATGGACATTGCTCCCGACACCCATTAGTAGCAACTCTCAACTCTTTAAGCGCTTCTGAAATAGTCGACACATGGTCCAATAATCCTTAAGGTTATGCTTGGTGTGGCGATGAAATTCACAGAAGGTCGGGCTATTTTTTTCTTCTCTAGTTGGCTCCTTTTCCACTGGTGGTAGCTTGACATCGTCGTTCTTAATCCATTCCATGAGAATCTGTCGGACTTCCTTCATACTACAAGGATACGGAGGTGGCTCCTCGGGCTTGGAGGCTCTCCCCCACTTCTTTGGTCGCTGACCTTCCTTCGGGACCTCCTTAGCAACTTCAACAGTTGCTTCTTTCCTCTTGTCCTTCCAACCGGCTATCTTCAGGGAGGGCTGGACTACCTCCGAAAGCCTTTGAGCAGATTCACATAGCTTAGTAAATGTTTTAAATTCACTGTTCACCAAGTATGTCTTGTATTTATTGTGCATTCCATCGATGCAAATTCGGACAAGGGCCTCTTCGATGACATTTTCTTGGGCACTCAATGGCTTTATCACGGAACTTGTCAATGGATGTTATCAGGGCTTCCCCATCATCTTGGATAATCTTTGTTAGGGAAAGTACTGTAGTACGATGCTCGATGTGAAAAAACTTTGCGTAGAATTGTGCGACCAAGTTGTCCCAATTCCTCACCGATTCTGTCGGGAGGTTAGCATACCAGGTGAAGGCTTTGTCCTTGAGGGACTTGGAAAATTCCCTCATTCGAAGAGGCTCATGGAGTACATAATGGCCAAGGCTATCAAGATATCGGGTAATGTGCTCCCTGGGGTTGCTATTTTTTCGATCGAACTTCTCAAACTTCGGCGGTGAGTACCCTGTAGGATACATGGCTTGTTGCACAGCCAGGGTGAACTTGGACCTTATGTCCATGGTCGTCGGCATAGGCTCATTCTGTCTATCTATCAAGGCCTGTACTTGGGCCAGTGTGACAAACCCAGCACTGGGCACTGGTCGTTCTGTGCTGGCTGAGTACGACGTCCAAACGGTCGTTGATGGAAACAAGGTGGAAACAATGGGGGCCGAAAATGCTGAAAGAGTTTGACCCCACACCTGGGTAGTTGTCGGTGCTGTTGTAGAGATGGTGAGAGGAGCCATTTGGGAAGCTGCGACGCCATAGTTGTAGCCAGTCGCAGCGTGCTCACATCTGAGAGTCGTTGGGAAGTTTAGGAAAGGTTCACCTATTGTGGTTACGGGTATGGCCACGGTGGGTACCTCGGAGGTTGTGACATTTTGAGGGCCCGTCATAGCTATTTACTGTAAGGGAGTTAGAGATCCCGTTGTGGTAATTTGTTGCAAAAGTGCTAGAGGGTTGCCTGTGGTAATTTGCTGTAAAGGAACCAAGGGGTTAGTTGCATCAATTTGCTGTGGAAGTGGTAGAGGTTCACTGGTAGGGTTTTGCAAAGTTAAGCCATAAGGGTTCGACTTCCGTGATGCACCATTATTGCTTGACAATGCCATTGGAGGAGATGCATGCAAAGTCGAAGGCAGTGGCACCGGGTACTGCGGGAGCAATGGTAAGAACATTGGTGGGTTTTGCAAGCCAGGTGGTTGAAAATACATCTGAGCTTGAATCATTTGCATTATAGCAGCCATCTGTTGCTGCAGAGTCTGCATATCGTGCAGAGCTTGCGCCATTACGGAGGGCCTTAGCACTGCCGAAGCCCTTCGACTCGTAGAGGAAACATATTTTCTGTTGCTCGCCTTCCTTGTCGTTGCTGTTTCTGGTCATCGTAATAGGCAATACTTTTCCACTTCAAGTTGTAATAGACATAGACTAGTGAGGACAAACCTTCCCCAGTGAAATTGCCAAAAGAATGTAGGTGGGGAGTTAAAAGAGGTTGACACACGTGTCTACGCTAAGTGTAATCCAAGGGGTGAGTAGGATAAGTGGATGGGATGGAAGGAACTCGAGCAGCCTGTTAATGGAGGGACAAACCAGTTGGGCAGAGGGTAAGTGAAAAATACTCTCACTAGCCAGAAAATCATCCTCCGTAGTGGGCAAGTAATGTGAGTATTTATAGTACAGTGTTCAGGCAAGTCGAACTGCCCAAAGGATTGCCCATCGTGACCTTCTACCACTCGCGCTAACCCACAACTGCCTCGACCGTGACGATACCAATGGCCATTAATGGTGAGTTATACGTCCCAACATTAACTAGGTAGATGTGATGATTTCCCAAACACAACTTGGACGTGGCCCTAAGGAAGGTGCAACAGTTAAGGCGAGGGTGGGCTCCCAAGGTCCACGACTGGTCATCGTGGGATCATGACCTCGAGAGGGCCATGTCTGCGATGACCCCAGCGCGCTCCTACCTGGGGTCCTCCTTTCCCTCTCTAAACCCTTCCTCGAGACCTTTGTCGAGGTGCCCGATAGAAGAAACTTACATAGTTTCGGTCCTTTAGCCACCAATCCACATGTCCCATCTTCCCATATGCTGATTCGGACCAATAACCCCAGTTACCTTAGGAGTCTCTCCGGATCCCAGTCAAGCGCATCCCAGCGGGCAGTGAGCCATACACTGGGAGGCCTGCTTGAGCAGACTAAACCTTCGAGACCCTACCCCAAGCCGAGGTTGACAATTATGTTCATCCACCTCCATTGCTTAGTTTTCCCTTGAGGAGGGCTGTACTTCTATGTCCTTAGGTGGGGACATCTCCTCTTAGTCTAGTGGGCCAATTGAGTAATGGTGTCTAATAGGTTGAGGATACCACTCCTGCAGTGGGGGAGACGAGTTTCGTCGTGGTTGTCCCATACTTCTGCGATACCATTCCCGCAAAGGGGTGTAGTGCCAGGGGGTGTCGCACTTGTCACCGTTGTCTATACCAGTCTAACTGAACTTTGTCGGGCCCCCATTTCCATGTCAATTGATAATTGTTGCCACTTATCCTGTTATGGTGGAGACACGTGTCTTGAAGTTTTTCGAGTACTACACTATGCAATGCAAACAAATCTACTGCCCAAGTCTGCATGTATACTCTTGATGGGAGAAGCTTAGTTACAGACCTACTGCAATACATCTTAGCATTGATTTTGAGTAGGATGATTTGCAATTTGAGGTCGAAAAAAATGAAAAATAGTTAAATATAAAAACTTTTTTGCGTGGTAAATTTGTTATTGGATAAAAAGTGAAGGTATGGTATCTAATAGTAGTATTCGATACTGCTAACATAAAGATAAGAAGGGTTGTGAATTAGGAAAAGTCCTGAGAATATCGTAGCTTTACTGTCTAAACTAAGATGGAATTTCATTGAAGAATGCCCTTTGTACCTCCTTTTCTTTTTTTTTTTGGGCAACTGCGGGGCATATGATTTTTTTTTTTTTTTGGAGGGAAAATGACAAATGACAAGGGTGACTCGTCCTTCAAAGGGGCGTAAAATGATTAAAACTGAAATTTCTGAATTATCAGATGATTTGCATAATTATTGGACCACCCTACAATATATGATGTAAATCACAACTCTTTTTTCTATTGGACCACCCTACAATATGATGTAATGACAATTATTGGACCACCCTACAATTGAACTGAATGTATCTTTTTAGGATCAGTCAAGCCTATTTTTTGAATCGTCACTTTGAGTTGTAATTGGTTTTTTTAAGTTGTAATTAAATCTCAATTGAATTATAACCCAACTCTATCTCTTTTTGTGAATTTATTATTAAAGTACGGTAAAATTTAAACTTAAATATCAATCTACAGTCATTTTAAACATATTTATCAAACTTCGGTTGTTTTAAAAGTGAAAGTACGAAATTCGATTTTATTTAAAAACAGAATTAATAAAAACGAATTTATCTGAAAAAGTGAAGGTAATAATTACGATTTTAACACTAAAAGCGTATTTATCAATTACAATTTTCATTGAATAATTTCATTGTTGAAATTTGTTTTTAAAATTGAAAGCGTACTTCTCCTCTCTCGTCTCAGACTCAGGTACTGTGTCGACACCGTTCTTCTCCGGCGCCTTTCAACAATCCTTAGCTTTCTCTCTCCAGTCAGAGCTCTTTTTCAGGCTCTTCTCGGCTTCTTGGTGGTATAAATATAAATCTTCCCTCTCCTCTTAGCATACCAAACCAGTCTTCATCTTCTCCATCTTCTTGGGCTTCAAGCTTTTCTGATTTTCAAAACCCAGAAGTTCTTGCGAGTCCTAGTTCAAATTCAAATCCATATGGTGGTGCTTCAAGTAATGGATTCAGTAATTTAACAACTGGGTCATCGTCTTCAACCATGAACTCATCTTCTCCTCCTTTTTATGGCCGTGGAGAGGCTGACCTGATTGATGAATTTCAGCTTCAAGATCAGTTCTCTTTCCTCAACGATGGGCCAAAAAACTCTGATTTGTACTACCCACCACCGGATTTAGCATCCAGCCCCAACGCAAGCCGCGGCGATGGTATGAACTTCCCTTATGCTATCTGGGTCAGCTCCACCAACAGCCTCCCCCACCGGCGGAGCTGCTCGGTGAGTAACATCTCTGCAGAGGACCCAGCTGGTGGGTTTGGGTGGAAACCCTGCTTGTATTTTGCTAGAGGGTACTGAATCGGAATATAGCAAGTCCGTTTTACATTGAAGTCAGACTTGGTAAGGCCGCTTTACGCTACAATGTCGTTTTTATTAATTCTGTTTTTAAATGAAAATGGATTTCGTTCTTCCGATTTTAAAATAGTTGTACTTTGATAAATATCTTCAAAACGACTATAAATTTTTAAATTTTGTGCAGTAGATTCCTCTTTTTATAATAAGTGATAACTGAAAAATGGGCGGGACAAGAAGAGTACTCAGCGACTATTTTAATATGCATTTGTTAGTGGGGTCACGAAATTTTTAACTGTGCCCATTACTCTTCTTTAAAACAAATTTATCTAGATTAGCATAACGATAAACAATAAAATTTAATGTAAACTCTAATTTTTAACTTTAAAGTAAGAAGTTTGATTGATACTCAACTAGATCACCCCCACTAGTGGTTAATCCTATTCTCTTAAAAAAAAATTTTATATTTATGAAATTTTTTATTCTAAATAATGTAACGCAATCTCTGTTACCAAATATTAATAAAATTCACTTATATAATAATAAAATGTCATATTATTTGATATAAAACTTTGATAAGCATAGTATTTTTCTTCTCTTTAAAGTTCATGACACGATATCAAAATTGACACCTACCAAGTGGAGAACGACCCCACGGGGGGTCCCTTTTAGATTAGACTCGATTTTGCTTGGATCATTACAACGTTTGTCTACCCCAGCTTGAGTGGGGCTCATCAAAACTCATCCCAACCTCATCAAATCGAGTCCCCATCCGAAAGGGAGGGTATTAATTTAAAAGATTATTATTATATTGATTTAAAAAATTAATTTGATTAATTATTATTATTTATTTAGTTACAGGTCTTAATATTTATTGAAATATATTATTTATTCAATAATTATAACTCATCAAATCAACAAATAATGTAAAATTTTTAATTACAAATAACATCTCTTAATTTAAGAGTGTCCATCGTATCATTTTGTGTCATATTTGTATTGTGTTATTTTTGTAAATTGTTATTTTCTGTACGTGTTATATTCATGTTAATATTTGTATCAATAAAAAATAATTTAATTCTATAACAACTTATATAATATTATTTAAAAAGTTATAAAACTTATTTTTTGTCCAGGGTACCTATTAAATACCTATTTTTTAGTAGACCAATGAGAAAGCAACATCCCTTATTGATTGAGGGCATTGAAGGAATTCTCCTTATTGGAATACCCCCAACTGTATTATTATTGAATTGAATGCTGCAGTTGAGTATGAAACTTCCGATGTTTCTCCTCTTTCTTTCCGAGCAAGGAATTACCGTAATTTATTAGGGGTCAGAATTAGGAATATTGAAAAATCAGTGACCCTACTGTAATTTCTAAAAATTCATTTGGGTAAGTAGCCTAAAAAAGCAAAACACGAATTGACAAATTTCGTAGGCACCAAGAAAACTACAGCCAAGCACCTACGTCAAGTAAATGTGACTCCTACGTGTCACAATAATATCCACTAGATGTCCATTCTCAATCCTTATCACATTATTAATTCCGCTTCTTAATCCTATACGGAGACTAGCAGCTAGTATAAAAGGGAAATCAGTAAACAGCCTTTTTCCCTTCTTGAAGATTACTTCGTCCCCAAGGTAAGGAAGGAGACATACTGTTCTATTGCCAAAAACCAGAATAAAAGCAGGAGAGAAAATTCAAATCCTTAGAGGACAAGAATTGGGGAGAGAGAAATATAAAGACCAAGCAGTTGAAAGGACATTCAAGAAACAAGAAAGATTACACTTTTTTTCTCAAGGCGCTTGTCGTCTGAGAGTATTGACAAGTGAGTTTCTTCATGCTTTTGTTCGTTCTAATCAGTAATAATGTGTCATTCCATGTTGATTTGCTCTAGCAAAACCCACTTCACTGTAATAAAGGGCTCACAGTTTATACGTATTAGGAGATCGTAAGATTGATTATAACAACTTTCTTTTAAAACTGAGTATTATAAGTTTGAAAGTATTCGTGAGAATAATATTGTAAGACATATATCTATAAGTATACGTCTACCAGTAGCCGATTCTTTTTTTTTTTTTTTTGCATGGGTTCTTCTAATGTGTCTCGAAATGTATGATTTCATACTTGTAGGTCTTCTATGATTAGGATTCGTTGAGTAGAATTGGTTCTTACCCTATTTGGTTTAGGAATTTTACTTGTTCTTAAAAGAGTAAATTAAGATTTGGGAGTTCTTGACAAGCGTAGGAACTTCTCAATTTGATTCTTGAAATTTTGTAGTTAAAATTTATACTCGTGTTGTGAATTTTTACAAGGAGGCAGTGACCTTGTATGCAGTAATTTATTTCTAATGAATGGTTTTGGGAACAGGGAAATGAGAAAGAGGCGTCGTATTGGGTGTGTTTCTCTATCGGATACTTTATTGAAGTGGGCGAAACACAACAATCAAATTGATACCATAGATGGAGTGATGAAGAGACAAAAGTTTCCGGGTAGGGGATCGAAAAAGGGTTGTATGCGAGGCAAAGGGGGTCCAGAGAACTCAAGCTGCAAATTTAGAGGTGTTAGACAGAGGACTTGGGGCAAGTGGGTTGCTGAAATTCGGGAACCAATGTGTAGTAGCATCGATAAAACGAGAAAGCCTGGTCGGCTTTGGCTAGGTACTTTCTCCTCCGCGGATGAAGCCGCTGTTGCGTATGATCAGGCTGCAAGGGCCATGTATGGTCCTGCGGCCATCCTTAACTTCCCTAATCATTATACTACATCGGCAGACATGTCTAGTGATTCTTCATCATATACTAGTACTGCTCTGACCATCCAAACACCAACTACTGAGTCTACAGCAACATCAGTTAAGTGCGAGGATGATATGGTTGATCAGGATACAAAGATTAAACATGAGTGCCCTGTGGAACATGAGTGCCCTGTGGATATATCAAACACCTATGATGTTACACTGGTGGTCGAGGAATCGAAGGTTCAGCAGGAGTGCTCTGTAAAGGAACTCAACTGTTCTGAGATTTTCATGAACAAGCAATCAAAAGTTAAGATAGAGGACACAGAAAAAGAATGTAGAGATGTTGGCGGCACAGGACGTGATAGTGAGCCTCCTAATGTTATTGAAGTTGAAACAACTGCAAGAAATGAAGTAACGAGAGAAGAGGTTGCAGAGATTACAGATTTTAGATGTCTTTATGACTCAAATGAAGAGAGCAACTGTTTACAATGTGTAGAAGCAGCAGAAGCAGTTGATTTTGAGCCTTTCGAGACTATTTCCGGAAATGAATCCGAACTAAGGCCAGACGGAAACCATGGTTGTGATGATCAATACTACAATGAATGGCAAAACCTGGATGTTTATAATTACTGGCAGAATATGTTAGAAGATCAAACATTGAATGTCCAAACTTTAGGGATAATCAAAGCGGATGACAGTGACTGTGGACAACGGGAAAACTACAGTTCAATTCAATTAGGGTCCTCTGATGATGTACTTTTGACGAATTACAGTAGCAAGCTTCATTACTTGGAAAATTTGCTAATGCAGGACACAAGCCTATATGAGGACTCTAAACTGAGACAAGACCGAAACGATGATCTCAGTCAATCTATGTTATATGATGAAGAACACATGAAGCATGAAAGGCCATGTGATCTTTCCAACAATCTCCATAATAGTCAAGGACAACCCAACTTCCAGAATTCAGTAGTACAGGAAGCATTTAACCCAGAGAATTCAGATGCCATTAACAATATGGATAACTCCAGATTGAGACAACAGGAAGATGTTGAATTTAGCCAATCCGGGTTTGTAATGAAGGTCAAAAGCAATGTTGGAGGTCAGCAGATTTCTTCGACGAATTGAAAAATGAGGACGCCAAGTTAAATTTGGATAATATTGATGCGGCTCTTTTAGATAAGGATTACAATTTTGATTTTTCAATCCTAAATTCCACCGACGAGGAGACAGGACGGCCTGACTTATGGTTCCCCTAGTTCAAATTCTAGTAGTTATAAAGGTTTGGAGGAAACAAGAAGAGAGATATTGACGTCCATGTCAAGGCAACACAGTGAGAAGATTGGCATTATCAGTAGGAACTATACCGTTGTATGCCATATGAATTTAGAAAGACCAAAAGGTTTGGAGTACTTCATTTTTCTCCCCAGACTATAACTCCTGGATTTGTACATACATCATTGAATAGGTGTAGCCATATACAGATTTTTGATGTAGGAGTAAGTTTTTTATAGCTCTGCACTTTGGATTTTTTATGCAATATTGTTATTATCAATGTCAGAAAAAAAAAATGAGAAATCCCCCTTCTCTAAATAATCCTTTTCATGTTCAAGTACTTTTTCTTCATCCACTACATTGCCAATTGAGAACACTTTCTCCATCTGAATGCAAAGTTCTATAAGAGCACAAACCACCCACATGTGGTATTCAAAGATGGTTTCTATCCAAATAGAGAAGTGGTTTATGTGCTGCTATAAAATCATGAACAATATCAAGTAACATAGCAGTGCAAAACTATGAACTCATTCTCATGACACACGGCCAGAAACTTTTAAAAAAGGTCTCAATCTCATATTGATGGGTTCAAAACGTTTCTAGACGTTAACATAGCTTGAATGGGCGCTAAAATGAATTTCAATTATTCCATCTAATCGTGATTTAACTGATGGTGTGAAGATTTTGAACTATCATACAAGCATGCCTGTAGCTCGTACGTCTTGCAATGAACTGTAATATGCTTGCAAATAGTGGTTGGGTATGAAACGGAAAAAATCATCTCAAAAGTTATTACCACTATCTGTAAATTTTAGGAAACACACATCAGAACTGATAATCACATTCTCCTAATATGCATAGTTTAATCTGTCTGCACAATAATTACAAGATTAAGAAAAAAAAGGTTCACATAACCCCCCAAAAGTAAAAAAGTTCTGCTTTCATTGATTACCACCTTTTTTCTAGTCAGTTCTAACTTCAAAACAATAAATTGAATGGAAACATTGTATATTCAGATCTAATCAGTGATGAAAAAGCAGCTTGGAAAGAAAATATTTTGCATCTGCAAGCATTAGCATCTCTGTTGTTTCCAATAAAACACTGGACAACGAATGTGTTCTCAATTGGCCGCATCTTCTAGCAACTAATCAGAAGGAGACTACAAGTCACTATCAAGAGTTAGAAATATCTGGTGTGAGAATTCCACAAATCAAAACTAACCTGTGGCTTAGGCATTGATGCAGTTCAGTTGCCTGATGTCCGCTAAATTTGGGGACAGCTTCAAATTTTCATGGCCCATGAGCCTGATGGAATTCTTCACGTTGGGTAAGTAATGAAAAATTCTAGTTATGTTATTCATATGCAGCTCAGCTACCTTCTTGCTCCATATCAGACCAAACTAATTTCCATGGTCCACTTTTTGAACCTAACCTGGGTTTTGTGAGTTTTTATCATAAATAGCACGGGATAGAAATAATTTAAATTTCACTGCCACATGAACATTAGGTTAGCAGAGAAGAATCAGGGCTAATATTTGTGATGTCATGGCCCTAAGTAAACCAAAAATCTTACTACTCAACCTATTGCCCCAAAGAAAAAAAAATTTAAGGGAAAAAAAACTGGGACCAGTCACCAGTCATTAGAAATGCTGTTCTTTGAATCATTAAGGCCATGTCCCCCAAAAACAGTGATCAAAGAACAGGTGGTTTAACCAATTCTTTGATTGCCTTATTGCAACATCAGTTGAACTATCATGGAATGGTATGAGAGTACTTATTTAACATATATCACAAATCAGCTTACCTCACGATTCCGGCTACCACACGCAACGTCATAAAGAGAAACAACCCTGCCCAAACTCCAGCAAGACCAAAGACAGAAGAAGTCACAAATAAGCACACCGAAGAGATCAGTCCAATCAGCACCTGCTCATTACCAAAAAGGAGAAAAATTAGGTGAGACTCAATGATGTAGTTTCAAACAGAAGACAAAAACAGGTACCATGGAATATGCAGCATAGCTGAAGTCTGAAACTCCATAGTAGAGCCCATCAAGAACAAAAGCGATAGCATTCATTGGCTGAGATCCAGCTACAAACTACAAATTGATTACAAAATATACATTAGAAGCAGCATGGTTATCTTGTCACAAGCTAGAGGCACAATGCATATGGTGCAGATTTTGGCAAAAGCTAAGTATTCATGAATTCCAGTTTGGAGTTTCCATGCCCAAAAGATCAAATATATCAAACAACTTCACTAATTTGCTGTGTCCCATTCTAGGAAGCATGGATACTTCCACAGGGGTGCCGTGTCCAACATGGACACAACCAGGATACGGCTAGACACGTGTCCGACACGGCTAGAAGTGTCTTGAATAGTGAACTTAGTTAAACACAGCCAATAAGAGGATCAAACCATTTCTTCTGACTCTTTTATAAATTCGATAAATGTTGGTTGATCATACATTTCATTATAGTTCTATGATTCAGAGTATCCTTTCCTATTTGATTGGATCTATTCATTAAAAAGAATCGACTCAATACATTTCTTATGTACCTATAGGCGCTATATTAGATTTGAATCAGATTTTGGAGGAAACGTCTAGGATACGACCAGAAATTTTTTTAATAAACAAAAAACTTTTTACTATTAAAAGAAATGTGATTTTTACTTTTTTTTTAATACATTTTTGTTATGTAACTTAAATACTATGAATGTTAATAGATGTCATGATGTTTGATGAAAATGAAAGATATTTAATTTGATCTATTTCAATTTTAATCAAAAAATTATATTTATTAGGTCTTATTATTAAATATTGTTATAATATATGTTTTATTTTTAATATATTACAATTTTATTCTTATTTAAAAAATATATTATATTATTTTAATAGCCGTATCATTGTTGTATCCGCGTCCTATATTTTTTAACTTTGTCGCATCCCCGTGTCCGTATCCGTGCTTTCTAGGTCCCATTACATACTTACCTTGAAACATAAAAGATTTGGTAAGCTCAGAAATAAAATCTTAGTTGGAAAGAAGATAACTGATCACAAGCCAAATGACAAACAAACACCATTATCAAACACATTATTATACTCAACTGAGCTATGGGAATGTAATAATGATAAGGGTATGGAATAATACCCTTTATCCAGCAACTTGACCTAAAAATTTATGCTGTCAGGGAACGTGACAAAAGATACACTAATGTCTCACAATTCCCCTTGACCTTTTGCACAATAAAAGGCAGACAAACAGACAGGCAGGGAACTACAGGAACAGTTGAGAGAATTATCTCACAATGTCTGGGAGAGATGATCACACCATTAAGCATCCTCTCACAGGGATTTATATATCAGTGCCCACATAACTACAGAAAATTTTGACAGTGACAATCTTCCACAGCTTACTTTAGAATTCACCATTATAACCTCAGATACCTTCGCCTCTCAACAAAGAAATAAAAATCCAATCTCCATAATGGATAATTCAAATTAAACTTCTTGGAAAAATATGACCCTCCTTTGAAGCCATGATTTCACAGTCAAAATTCTAAGGCGAAAAAATGATCTACTAAACACTAAAAACCCCCAACTTCTAGATCAACATGATACAAACATTGACTGCAAACAACATTTGTCTCGTGTTAGAACCCAAACTTGGTACTGTAGCCTCAAAGGACTCAACAGAGAAGCAGAGCAAGATGGAAACATACCAAAATCTATAATCTTCCAAAACGATCAATAGTTTGAATTTCATATCAGACTGACAAATCCAAAACAAGTCAAGAATTTTTGGAAATGGACACAAAGTCAACTCCAGATTGTAGAATCCTTGTTTTTGGAAAGTATTTCGAGTCCTTTACCATCAGAAGCCTTATATGATCTCTAATAGAGTCCTTCTGGTACCTGCATTGTACCATGAAAGACAACCATTTGCCCAAACTAAATAGCTGCTAGGGAATTGCAAAACAATCCATATCAACCTCTGAAAATCCCTGAGCTATGGAGTTCCTCATGGAACTCGGAAACAATCTTTGTGGAGCACATCACCAAAAGACTAAAAGAAATGATTGCTAACCATTACCAGTATAAAACAAATCTACAAAGGCAACAAGGGCGGTAAAACATATAAAAAGGGAAGCACAGTGCACGAGCTTCCGCCATTGTGCGGTCTGGGAGGGTCAGATGTACGCAGCATTACCCCCACATGCGGAGAGGGTGTTTCCCCAACTCGAACCCTTGACGCCGAGGTCATGATGCTGGGTACATCCATTACCAGTAATTGCCTATGGATGGATTCCAGTAAACAAGATTGGGCTAGAATCTACCATATAAGACATGTGTCAAGACCAAAACTCTTTGGTTACGATTTCAAGAGCCCAAAGCAGGCCCAAACATGCCAATTGACATGTTATGAATCTGAAAATGTTGCAAGTAAGCTATCAATGTACATTATTCAGGTCCATATAAGGTACACACCAGCAAACATACTCGTCTATTCGAATCCAAGTCCAGCCATGGACTGGGCTACAAGAATTGGCCTTTCCAAATCAATAGCTTTCACAATGAACATGAACTAAGTTATGTGTGGACTATCAAACCTTAATTTCCCGTTGCTGTCCAACAACTTGCAACTGCACACGGGTGCACAAATAAGGCAGGAAAAGTTCTTTTTTTTTTCTTTCCCTTTCAGTGAGCAAGGCAAGCACCAGTACTTTAATTGGTAGTTCTTTCTAAGATGCTATGAGAAGACAAAAATCTTCAAAAACGGAAGGCTCCAGTAAAGTAATAGTTTCTTACCAAGGTACCGGACCTCGCAATTGCCAGAACTTCAGAATCTATGCTAAATAAGCTAGAAAGTGCTCCAAAACTGAGGAACAAAATGATGGCCAACGCTACTCCTGTTAGTAAACCGATCTGTGAAATTAAAATAAATATAATCCAGTTACTAGCGTAGTATAACTCTTGTCTCAAGAAAAACTTAAAGCAAACTTTCAGGGTAAAAAATATAAAACAAGGTTGGGAACTTGGGATACAAACAACCTGTAGAACTTTGTAAATCACTTGGCGTGATTGAGCGTACTTCCCTTGGGAGTAATCACCAGCAAGAAGAGCCTGCAAAAGAAACACCAACACAATGAAAACAAAAACAAAGAACATTAAACCCCCTCGGCATTTATCTGTATGTGATAAAATGAAAATAAGCCAAAAAAACAGATATCAAAACAGCACAACTAAATATGGACTTCCTGGATAGAAAATCCTAAAAATTAAGTCTTCCATCCAGGCCAATTTTGATACTTTTGCCCAGTGTGGATTGCGCCTCAACTTTGACCAACTACTACTCCTTGTATCTGTCATATCAGTAAGTTCCACTGCAATGTTATTTCCGAATTTTGCTTCATCAACCCAAAATTTCCAGGTCAACCACTCTTACTTCCAGTGAATAATGTATATAGCCACATGTTGTCGACTATTGCATGTCAAAAGTTCTTATCCCACAGTTTCTTCAGGACAGTCAGTGCACCTTTTTTAATGTTTCCAGCATATCTTATGGCATTTTCCAAAGCAATGAAAATGCATATGCTTTTGCTTCTTTTACGTCACAAGAATTTGGGAAGTTCCATGGATTGAATGACACCAAGAGAGCCTAGACAACATGGATTACTGCAAAAGCTTTTAAGTTGGGAAGTTACCAACAGGAATCCCTTTCATAACAGGACCAAACGTTTTAAACTAAAATTATGGGCGGCTTTACCCATGTCACCAAAACAATAAATTTACAAATACCAACCTTTGTGATGACTATGAAATCCATGCCCCTTGGACAAAGTGTTACATGTTTACCTGGCCTGCGAGTGCTATAGCATCAGTAAGCAAAGATACTGCCAACCAAATTTGGAAACAGATCTGATGACCAGCCATAGATACAGGGCCCTCTCTTGCCGCCATAGATGTTGCTAGTGTTGTGGTCACAAACACTGCTAAGGTCCTCCCAATTAGCAGTGCACCTGCAAAATGATAAGCTTATACGTAAGAGCGAGTTTGTTTCTTATCAAAGTTAAGGCAATTTGTCATAGTCTCTACATTAATTTTCCTTTACAAATATTAATCATGTGATCATCACAGAATTTGCGTGTGAAAAGAAACAAAGATAAATTCTGGGCTGCAAACCATGCTTGCCTAGGATACTAATGTGATTTAGATACAGATCGAACACCTAGTGTATTAAGTTTTATTCAGAATGATTGAAGTCAAAGAACATGTTTATTCGATGGCAGACATAGGAATCAAATCAACACATCAACCTTTTACACTGACAAATCAGCTCTCTCAAAAGCCTTGCTCAAGAATTAGATTCGGTCCACTCTTTTAGTTGCACCAAGGCGGTGCTTGAACACTTGGATCTTTCCCAATTTTAAGGACTGTCTTTCCAATTGGAGTTGGTTAAGAAAACAAAGACCAGCCAATCAATTATCTTCTGTATATAAATGAAAACATATCTACTCACTGAAGAAAGCAAGTGATATAGATAATTCAAAGCAACTTGCCCTGCCCAAATTGGATTCAAAGTCTCGGCTACAACACGGTTATAGCCCACCATGCTTACAAGATAATATACAACTCAACTCAATAAAGTCTTGTCCTAACTATTGCGGATCAACCAAATAAATTACATTGTGCCATTGAGCTCTATCACGTGTCATATCTTTTGACAAACCACAAGCTATCATATCATTAATTAACTATCTCATTGACAGTGTTGATCTATGTTAAGAATAATCGAGTAGTATGTGTAAATTGTTAATAGTAAGAGGATGTATGTGTTATTATTATTATTGTAAGTTAACTATAAATACAAGTTATGTATGAGAGCTAGGTTAAGCTTTTGACCTCTCTCTGTTCCTCTTCAATATATTGTGTTAATCCTTTACAATTAACTTGGTATCAGAGCATGGTTTAATCCTAAATATATTTTGGATAAATTAACTTAATCTGTGGTGGTGGTATTGTTGATCATAGAAGTTACAGTGGTGGTGGTGGTGATACATTTGTTGTTGTGGTTGTGTGCTGTTGATCGTTGCTAGTGGCGAGTTTACTGTTTGTCATTGTTGGTGGTGGTGTAGTTGTGGTGGTCTGTCTGGTCATCGTGGTCGCTCGCTGTGGTGGCTGAGGCGCCGTCGTTCACTGGGGTGGTTGAGGCGCAGTCAATCGTTCGTTGTGGTGGTTGAGACGTAGTCAAAGATTCCCTCGCTGTGGTGGCTGAGGCGCAGTCATTCGCTAGTGTTAGCTGTGGTAGTTGAGACACAGTCGAAAATTAGGGCTACGGAAACCCTAATCGTGAAGAAGACAAGGTCTGGATAAAAAAAAAAAAAAAACCGAAGTCCGGTTCAGTTAACCTTAGACTGATTCAAACTGGTTCAGTCAGTGGTGACTCCGGTTCATCGGTCCAGTAACCTTCTGTGACCCGGTTCAGTTAGGTTTTGCACTGGTTCAGACCGGTTCAATCATCTTTCACTCCGGTTCATCGGTCTAGTGCATCTATTCTGTCCGGTTCAGCCTTCCAGCAGGCTTCTTGGGTCCGGTTCAGCCTTCTAGCAGACTTTTGAGGTCCGATTCAGCCTTCTAGTAGGTTTTTTGGGGCTGGTTCAGCCTTCTAGCAGCCTCAAGTGGTCCGGTTCAGCAGTCTAGAAGCTCTTTTCAGTCCGGTTCAGTCCTCCAGTAGGTCCAATTGACCCGGATTCTTATTGCAACACTTCTTATTTGCTATTTGCTACACTTCTTATTTTCTATTTGCTACATTATTATGGAACAAAAAAATCCCACGTTGCCTCCTCCTACTCTTATCAATGGTCCCATGACTTCTATCAAACTCAATGGGACTAATTATACTTTATGGTCCCGATCTGTTCAAGTCTTTCTTCGAGGCAAAGGATTTAAGAAATATCTGGTGGGTTCTAAACCCAAGGAGGACACTCCTGTGTATGATCAGTGGGAACAAGAGGATGCTCAGATTATTTCTTTATTGTTGAATAGCATAGAGCCCAGTATTAGCTCTTCTCTGCTCAATCTTGATACTACCAAAGAGATATGGGATCACTTGACCACTATGTATTCTGGTACAGGTAATTTTATCCGTGCGTATGAGGTGTGCAAGGAGTACTTCCGGTTGGAGCAGAGTACTCTATACCTTGCGGATTATTACTCTCATGTTCAGGGAGTCTGTGAGGAGATGAAAACTTACCATCCATTTACTACTGATGCAGCAGTTTGACAAAAGCAACAAGAGGACCTGAATGTTGTTCGATTTTTGGTAGGATTGAAACCTGAATATGAGACTATTCATTCTCAGATTTTAGGTGGATCTAGTCTTCCATCACTGCTGGAGGTTTTCTCTCGTTTACAGCGTACTACTCTGTCTACTCCTTCAATCATTGATTATGGTGTCTCCACTGATCGCTCAGCTCTTGTAGTTCCTAATAGCCATAGTGATGGTCATCGAGGTGGACGTGGTGGTCGTGGAGGTCGTACGGGTGGTCGTGGAGGTCGTAGTGGATCCCGTTCCTGTACTCACTGTGGCCGTGGAGGACACACTATTGATTTCTGTTGGGATTGACATGAAAAACCTTCTGGTATTGCTAATCAGGCTTTTTATCAGGATGACACCTCTATTGTTGCTTCCATACCTCCGTCAGCTCCACCAGACATTGGGTTGGTTACTATTGCACTAGGTCAAGAGGAATATACTTAGTTCCTGTCCCAGCAACAAGCTGTTTCATCTCCCTCCACTGTTACTTTTGCCCGGTCAGGTACTACTTCCACCTGTTTATTGTCCTCCACTCGCAGTCCTTGGATCATAGATTCTGGCGCCTCTGACCACATGACTAGTGCGTCTGACGTTTTCTCTACTTATCAGTCTGCTACTTCCACACGTAGTGTTACTCTTGCTAATGGTACTTGTTCTAAAGTTTTAGGTCTGGGAACTACTCACTTGAGTCCTAATATGTCCCTATCTTCCATGTTATTTGTTCCTCAGTTTCCTTTTAGTTTACTTTCCATTAGTAAGATTACCCATTTTCTCAATTGTTCTGTAATTTTTTATCCCTCTTATTGTGTCTTTCAGGATCTCAAGACAAAGAGAAAGATTGGTACGGGGCACGAAACTGGTAGCCTATATTACCTTGACTTTGATTTATCTACCCGAGCTTTACAAACCTCGTTGTCTCTTTTTCAATGGCATTGTCGTCTTGGACATCCTTCTCTCCAGAATCTGAAGCGTCAAGTTTCGAGTCTTAGTTATGTGTCGTCTTTGTCTTGTGAAGCTTGTCAACTTAGTAAGCATCACCGTGTGTCATTTCAGTTTAGAGTCAATAATCATGTGTCCAGTCCATTCTGATGTATGGAGTCCAATAAAGAATATTTCATGTAATAAATATCCTTATTTTGTGACATTTATAGATGACTATTCTCGTGTGACTTGGTTATTTTTAATGCAAGCTCGATCTGAATTATTCTCTATATTTGAGACTTTTCGTAAAGAAATAAAAACTCAGTTTGGTTGTCGTATATGTACTTTACGTTCCGATAATGCACGTGAATATGAATCTGATCTTTTTTCAGCTTACCTTAGTAAAACTGGCATTATTCATCAGACTTCTTGTGCTTACACCTCTCCACAAAATAGTGTTACTGAACGCAAGAACCGCTATTTGTTGGAAGTCACCCGTGCCTTGTTATTCCAGATGAATGTTCCCCGATATCATTGGAGTGATGCTGTTCTTACTACTTGTCATCTTATTAATCGTATGCCCTCCTCTGTGTTAAATGGACAAAGTCTATATGCGGTTCTGTTTCCTGGTAAGCCCTTATTTTCCCTTACTCCTAAGATTTTTGGTTGTGTCTGTTACGTTCACAATTTGGGTCCTGGATTTGACAAACTTGACCCTCGCGCTACCAAATGTGTTTTTCTTGGTTACTCCCGCACGCAGAAGGGGTATCGTTGCTACAGTCCTTCTCTGTACCGATATTTTACTAGTGCGGATGTCACATTTGAAGAATCTGTTCCATACTTTCCAGCACCTTCTCAGCCTTTGGATCTGGACTTTGGCTCCTCTCCTGTACCACCATCAGATATTTCGCTCCCCACTATGTTACCATCTATTTTACCTCTTCGTGTCTATTCTCGCCGTCCTCGCCCATTGACTGAAGTGCTCGTACCGTCTTCCTTGCTGCCTTCTGATCCAGGAACATCAAGTAATTTAGATTCTTTACCTATTGCTCTTCGCAAAGGTACTCGGTCGTGTGTTACTAATCATCC